GTACTAGGGACTGAACCCAGGGGTGCTTTACCACTAAGCTACATTCTCAGTCCTTTTTACTTTTTAAGACAGAGTCTTGCTTGAACTTGCAATCCTCCTGCCTCAGGCTTCCAAGCACTCTTTGATTGTTTTATCACTTTGGCACTTATGCTGGATATATAAGGATGCGTGATGAACGGAGCTGCCACTGCCTATATTCTGGGTAACAGAGCCCGCACTAGCTGTGACGTCCCTTTAGGTGAATACCCATCAAGAAAGAAAGAAGACAGAGGGTATGGCCAGAGAACTCCAAAACCTACACAAATGAAATCATCAATAATGAGCTCCTTTACGTATGTATTAAACAACATCCTTTAATTCTCACATCATTGTTCTGTGGTGGGAAGGTGACAACTGTACCCTCATTAACAGACTTGGAAAGAAATGAGATCCAGGAAGAATAAATGACTTGCCTAAGGCACACAGCAAATGAAGAATGAAGGTGGGTCTAGAACATATTCACAGCCCTTACCGGAAGCCTAAATTTTGGCTGCTTGCTCTCATTTTCATAGAAGCCCCACCAGGTGGGGATTATTGGTCCTCTTTAACACATGGAGTAACTGGCTCAAATCAGGTAACCAGCACAAAGTTGAGTTGGAAGAGACCTTTCCTGCCTCTGTGGGGACAGTTTCCTGGTCTGATACTAGATTCCTGGGACACTGTAGAAGGAGGCAGAGACCCACAGTGTATGAAGCTCTAAGCAGCAGAAAGTTGACACTTTTGATCTGCAACATGACTGAGATAGAACAAGGAACAGCATCTCTGATCAGCCCGACAGCCGAGGGAGTTTAAGCCAGAGTCCCTGGAATGGGAGAGAAGTGGGGGAAAAGAGGCTTGTTGTACTCTGCTTTGCAAGAGGGGACAAAAAGTTTCTGAGAAAAAGAAGGGTTCACTTTGGTCACCTCTAGTGATCCCAAACAGCCAAATTAGATACACACCCACATTTGAGCAACTCAAAATACCAGGTGGATACCTCCTGCCATATGCAAAAATTAACTCAAAATGGATCAAAAATCTAAGTGTAAGAGCTGAAACTATAAAACCAAGAAAACACAGAGGTAAATCTTTGTGACCTTAGATTAAGCAATGCTTTCATATTCATGACACAGAATATGTCATGATAATTTTGAATATTGACAAAGTCCAACATAATGTCATGATAATTTTGAATATTGACAAAGTCCAACTATGTTGGACTTTGTCAATATTCAAAATTATCATGCACTAAAAGATACCTTCAAGAAAATAAAAAGAATCCATAGTGGAAAAAAACTTTTGCAAATCATATATCTGAAAAGGACTTGTATCTAGAATATAAAGAGCTCTTACAAGGGCTCGTGATGGAACTCAGGGGTAACGCATATGATATGCATGTGCAAGGCCCTGAATTCCACGATTAGCATGTGCAGGGCCCTGGGTTCCATCCTCAACACTAAAAATAACTAATTATTAATTATCAATAATAAAAAGATAATTCAATTTAAAAATGGGCAAAGGCTTTTAATAGACATTTCTCCAAAGATATACCAATAGCCAATAAGCACATGAAAAGATGCTCAACATCATTAGCCATTAGGAAAATGCAAATCAAAACCAAAAAATTATACTGCTTTATAGCTATTACAATATCTATAATAAGGGGCTGGGGTTGTGACTTAGCGGTAGAGCACTCGCCTAGCACATGCAAGGCCCTGGGTTCGATCCTCAGCACCACATAAAAATAAATAAATGAAATAAAGGTATTGTGTCCGACTACAACTAAAAAAATTAATATTTTTAAAAAGAATACCTATAATAAAAAAATGAACAATCATAAATATTGTCGAGTGTGTGAAGAAACTGGAACCCTCATACACTGCTGGTGGGAATGTAAAATGGTGTAGCCACTTAAGAAAATAGTCTGAAGGTTCTTCAAAATGTTAAAGTTAGCCGGGCGAGCGTATGCCTATAATCCCAGCAGCTCAGGTGGCTGAGGCAGAAGGATCGGGGGTTCAAAGCCATCCTGAGCAACTTAGTGAAATCCTAAGCAACTTGGTGAGACCCTGTCTCTAAATAAAAAATAAAAAGGCTGGGAGATGGCTCAGTGGTAAGGCCCCTGGGTTCAATCCTGGGAAAGAAAGAAGAGAAAGGGAGGAAGGAAGGGAGGAAAGAATGAATGGATTAAGGAAGGAAAGATCAGAAAATAAAGAGTAGAGGAGCAGCTGCATAGTGCTTGGGGTAGAAGGAAGAGTGGGGAGAGTGGGTGCTACTAAATGGGTAGAGGGTTACATTTGGGAGGAAAGAAAATGTTCTAAAATTGATGGAGATGATGACTGTACAACTCTGAGTGATTTGTAAGATATGTAAATTTTGTCTTGCTAAAGTTGTTTTACATATTTTTTTAAAGACACAGGTGGACAGATGGACCCTTAAAAGGGAAGCAAGAGGTTTTGAGGTGGTAGAAATAGCTTTTCTTTCTTTCTTTTTCAAGATGAAACCCAGGGCCTTGAGCACGCTGGCAGGCACAAGCACTCTGAGCTACATCCCCAGCCCCAGAAATGTTTTAAACATTGACTGTGGTGATGGTTACTGGGGTGTACAAACTTGTCAAGCCTCATCAAAATGTGTGATATAAATTAATCTTCAGGGAAGCTGATTTAGAAAACGCCACCAGCTCCAGGTGGAAAAGGCAGGAACAGTGGTGGGCATCAGAGCCATTGGGTAGCCAAAGGCAGGTCTTCTCCAGTCTCCAGGGAAAACTCAAGAGGGGACTTGGGTGTCATATGAGTCCCCTAGTGACCCACGATTTGATCCTCTTGACCACCCCGAAATGCCTATCACTTCCTCTTAGGCCTCCTCCTCAACAACTCACCTGCCTTCCTAGGCCAGCTCAGCTCTACAGCCTCCAACCCACAGAACTGAGGCCAGGAGGCCTAGGCATGTGCCTGCTCCTTACAGATAACCCTGGCAGAGATGAGACAGCCCCCAGGGTGGGGCAGCTGCTGCTCAGAGCAGAGATCAAGACCTCCCGACCTCCACCCACGGGAGCTGGTTTTCTTCCCCAGCCACAGCATGCTCTGTGAGACATGTTGAGTTGGGGAGACAGGAGAAGCCAGAAACATTTACCAAGCATTGCTGAGTCTCTCAACAATGAGACAGATACTCTTATTGGGAAAGAAATTATTGTTCCCATTCTGCAGACCAAGTAACCCAAGCTCAAGGTCTAAGGAACTCACTGATGTCACTCAGCTGGTATACATGGTGGAAGCTGAGAATCAAATCCAAATTGGCCTTCCTTCCAAGTTTACTCTAGAACAGGGAGGCTGAGGAAGGGGTAAGGAGGGAGGAAAAGAATCAAACCCCACTTCCACCTGGCTCCTTAGCTGAGCTTGTCAGCTAAGCACTTTCCTCCCAGAGAAGTGAGAAACCCACCAAGTCCCTGACATCAGAAGGGAAACTCCTTTCCCCTGGACAGCTGCAGACAGCTCGGGGCTGCAGCTACTAATCCTGGGGCATTTAGAATTCTCACTTCAGCATTCAGGGCCATTCCTACAAGGTCAAGATGATTGGAGGAAAACAGAGACCCTCCACAATGCCCATTGTCGAGGAAACAGGACTATGGACTTCATGCAAATGGAAGATTTGAAAACCTGGGGACTTCAAGGTCCTGCAAAGAGAAGAATGCAGGCCCTTCACATTCATATTTCACTCTGTGTGGCTTTCCCCTGACCCCCCTGTCCCCATTCCTGGGGATGCTCTACTATTAAACTGTATCCTCAGGCCTTTTTTGTGACAGGCCCTGATAAATTGCAGGCGCAGGCCTTGAACTTGTGATCCTCCTGCCTCAGCCTCCCAGTTGGCTGGAATTACAAGCATTTGCCACCTAAGGGATTCCTTTCTCTTTTCTAGCTTTACAACAGCAGACCTCAAGAAAATCCCTTGGGAGCACAGCTCAGTGGCACATGTCTGTAACTCCCAGCTACAGGAAAGGCTAGTATTGCAAGTTGTAAGCCAGCCTAGCAATTTAGTGAGACCCTGTCTCAAAATTTTATTTTTTTTTAAAAGGGCTGGAAGTGTAGTTCAGTGGTAGGCCCCAATCCCCCATCCTGGGTTCAGTCCCCACTACCACATACACATATTAAAAAAAAAAAAAAAAAAGTGAAAAGACTGGGGATGTAGCTTATTGGTATTGAGCTCCAGGCTCTGAGCTCCATCCCCAGCACCCTGGCTCAACAGACACAAAGAAATCCCTCACCTTTTAGGTGAGACATTTCAGAGAGACTACATCCTCTTCTAGACTGGAGGCTGTCAGAAACTTAGGACTCTGCCTAAGAATCCCAGGATCTGGATGCCCAGCCAGAACCCAGCATTCAGTTGGTTGATATATTCCAAGTGGAGCATGTGGAATGTCACCCATTTCATGATGAAGTTTTAAGAGGTCAAGAAGTGAGGCTATCCAATCCCCAGCCTAGGGCTCCCCTTTTGAGCAGTCCTGTTCTCTCTCTAGCTTACCTACAGTCTTTTTCAGCTTCCACCTCCTCCCTCTGCGGTCCCTGCCCCAGACGACCCCAGCATACCTGGGCATAAGCTGGAATAGAAGCCCTCGTTCTTGAGTATGATCAGCAAGGAGGCCCAGCCCAGGAGCACTGCAGAGAAGAAGAGGTTCTCCAGCACAGCGGTGCAGGCCATCCACCAGCGCCTGCGGTACGCCTGTTGCAACGTGGGGGCCATTCTGGTCGAGAGATTGCAGAGAAAGAGAACGCTGAGCGAAGGACCTCTCAACGGCCCCTGGGAAGGGTACTGCATCATGGTAGCTCCTGAGATCCCTTGTGCCACCCCGCGATGGAACCTTCATGGAAGGCCCATAGAACCCAGAGCTTCCTAGCCAGTTCTGCCAAGCTGGCTCGGCGCGCTCTGGCAGTGCCAGGTACGCACGCGGCGCTGGGTTCCCGCCGGGCCACTATCAAAAACAAGGAAGGTCCTGTCTGCGCACAGAAGCTTCTTGGCGTGCTGCCGGGCTCTCCCACCCAGGCCATGGCGCGCAGAGCCAAACCAGAACTTCCCCAAGTCTCCAAAATTCAGTAAGGTACAAAGCGCGCCCTGAAGCCTCCCCTAGCCCATGTCTGACCTCTTTGGCCTCTTGCCCCAGGAAAGACCCCCCCCAGAAGCAGGCAGGAGGAGGAAAGGGAAGTCTGAGGCTAACCAAAGACCCCTCTTTCCTTTTGCCCCTCTCAGTCCACTCCTCTCCTCTGAAGCCAGGCGAGAATAAGTCCTCTGCTTGCTGCACCAGGCGATCCGTGTCCCTACAGTCTCATGGGCCAATCCAACAGCTGCCACGTGGAGGGAGACCCAGGGCTGGCAATGTGGCGTCCCCACGCGCCCCTCACTCACTCCCAAGGCGACCCGATTTAAGTCGCGCGCCTAGGAGCCCGCCAGCTCCCCCCAGCCAGGGAAGGGGGCTCAGGCTTAGGCAGGAAGTCCGGTGGTGGCTGACTTTATAAGGGCAGTGGCAGCGGATGGGTTGGCGGGCGGGCGAGTGTGTTTACCAGAGGTGGGAGAAAGGAATCGGAACTCGCCCCGGCCGGGGCCGCTACAGCCATCGCGGGAGGAGACCTGGGGCCGGCAGCGCGGGGGCGGGAGCGACAAGACGAATGGGGTAAGACCGAGGAAGGCGGAGAGGTGAGGAACTGGGGAGGGCAAAATGGAAAGCCCAAGATCAAGGGGTGGGAAGCACGAGTCACTTCTCCCGGGGGGCGGGAGAGCCACAGTACCCTTTTCTGTGAAATGGGGGCTTTCGATTCAGGGGCTCCCGGAGGTCTCTCCTGACAAGTGTCGCGCCAAGCAGAGCAGCAAGGGGGGCCGAGAGGAACACCAGAGTCCACTGGGCCAGGGTAAAGAGGAGGGGGGGGCGCGCTTGGAGAGGGGATAATGGGCCGCAGGGCTCAAGAGCTCAGGTAACGGGCTTTTCTTGGGAAGTCAGGGAGTCTATCGGAACCGGCCCGGGTGGCTCTCAGCGGACTTGCAGCTGAAGACACTGATTCTCACACGCGGCTCACCTCGGGTCGCGGGCAAACGCGCCTTCTGCAGCTGCGAACGCCCCCTGGAGCTCAGACCCTTGGCAGCACGTCCACACTCCGGGTGTCCCGGGACCGGCGGGCCCAGCCCTGATCTGCGCGCACGCTGAGGTCTTCTCTGCTCTTTGGACCCGGGGGCCTTGAAATTGCAGCCCGACAGCCCAGTGGTCTCGACTCCTCCGCTCTCTTGGGAGAAGTCACGGAGCTTGGAACCTGCCGGGCGCCACGGATCCACGAAGCAGGGTAGGAACGAAGTGATCTACCGAATTGATAGTTGTGTTTACACGCGTCCGGAGCTGCGCCCCGAGGTAGGGGCGGGAGCTCCCTTCCTTTCCCCTCCCCCTAGGTCGAGTTTCACATGCACGTGACTCGCCTGTCGGTCCCCAGATAAGCTCCCCGCACACACCCCAGCTCCTGAATTGACACCCTCGACCCCCACCTCCTCCCTTGTCCTCCCGGGCTAACATCTGGCACGCCTTCTGCATCTTTGGTCAAAACAAAGAATGACGACTCTGCTGGAGCCGACCCACGGGGATACTAAGCAGGCTTGGGTGGGGTTTTGAACTGTGGAGTTGGAAGTAGAGTTTTCCAAGAGGCAGAATGACACAGGTTTCTTTGGATTTCCTTCTGTCCAGGTCGGAATCTTGACTTTGAAACTGACTAGCCTGGGGTATCTTGGGCGACTTACTTAACCTCTCTGAGCTTTTAGTTATCTCCTCTGAAAATTCAGATGACAATAGAATTTAGCTATCTTCCAGAAGGGATTCGGGATTGTGATGGGGGCAAAAAGCTGGGTATAGCACTTAGCATAGTAAGAATAATAAATGTTAATTGTTGCTGCCGCTGTTGTTATTATTTCAGAAGACTTAGTGATGCTTGTAAAGCTCTTTGACAGGATGAGCAATTACACAGAAAGTTCCAAGAAAAGCCTCAGACAAGACAGGACCCCTGAGCAGCTGAGCCACCAAGCCAAGAGAAGAGCATTGCCAAGTGGTGACCATATGCTGGAGACTTTCAACAGAAAAAGAAGAAGAAGAAGAATACACATTCAGACATCATAACTTCACTCAGGGAGAATACTGGAGGCTGCCAGGTGGTAGTTGGAGGCAGGACGCATGGTCAGATCTGTCAGGCTCTAAGCACTGCTCTTTCCAATCCTCTAGGCGGGGAAATGACAGAAGCAAAAGCTTAGCAGTAGAAAAGGCACGGGATGTTCTCTCTGGCAAAAGCCCTAGTCAGGCTTTGGTGATTCCACTTCTTAAAATGCACCACGGGAGCATGCAGTGTAGGTCAGTGGTAAAGCATTTGTCTAGCATGTGTGAGGCCCTGGGTTTAGTCCCCAGTGCCACCAAAAAATAAAAATAAATAAATAAATAAAACTGGCTACCAGAACTTCAGGTCAAGGTTAAATTTCATAGCTCGGCACAAGATGACCTAGAATAAATGTTCTAACCCAAGAGGGTCATGGATGCCCTGGAGAAAACAATAAAATATTGTTAATCCACTCTATGAAAATACTGGTACATTCAAAATCTCCGGGTTTTGTGGACACCTCCCCCCATGAGATTCTGGTGACCCAGACACCCCCCATGACGGGGAGGCTTGCCCTTGATTATCCCAGCCTGCATTCCACAGTTTTACCCCTAGAAGTACCAGCTCCCTGTGGGCAAGGAGGGCCCTGTCTGTTGAGTTCACTGCCTGGGTATCCACAGCTCCTGGTACCTAATAAGCTCTCAGTGAGCACATATGCAACCAAAGGTCCATCCAGCTGGTTTGACACCTCCTTACCTTTGCACCTGCTACTCCTTCTTGATGGAATGACAGATTCCTCTTTTCATTTCTAATATATTCATCCTTCACAATTCAGCTCAAGTTTCATATCTGTCTGGAAGCTGTGTGACCTCCTACGCTGCATTAGGGGCCTTGCCCAAATGATCCCCCCAAACACTGTGCTGACCTCCATTGAAGACCACACAGACATCTACAAGGAAGTTCTGTTCCTTCCTCCCTTTCCCCATCCCATGAGGTATCAATTTCTCGGAGGCAGGAATGACCACATTATAGGTAATTTGTATGCCTGCTGCCTATCACAGGACCTGGCATGTAAAACACCCAGGGTAAACATTTGTTGAATACATGAAAAGGGAGTAGTGGGAAATTAAGCTATAAAGGTAGGCTAGGGCCACCTTGGAATGACTTCTGTGAAGCCAAGGATTTCCAGTGCTGTGAAGAAGGTGATGGGAACTCCTGGATTTGGCAGATTTTTGGTGTGTTTTGTTTTGTTCTTCCTAATAAAGGGATAGATGTGGTCAAGTTCATGGGTTTAATGATGGAGGACATATTGGAAAGGAGAATCAAAGCACTTAGGAGGCCACTGTAATAGTTCAGATTTTTAAAAACAGGAAAGCAAAGGGAGAGAACCAAGATATACTTCTGTACCCAAATTAATAGGATTTATCAACCTCTTTCTTCCTCTAGCTCCAAAAATAAAACCTCCTTCCTAGACTGTTTTCCTGATACTGGCCATAGCTTAAGAAAAGCAGTGTTATCCCATTGGATCTCATGTGGGCTCCTGGCTAGACTACTTCACAGCTTACTGGACAAGAGCGCTGGATCAAGAGTCAGGTGGGATCTAAATCTTGGCTCTGCAACTGATAAATTGTGGATGTTGCCCAAGTCACTTATCTCCTGAGCTTCATTCTGCTTTTTTAAGTGCTGAAAATAATAGTACCTGATTGAATTCATTCTGTGAGAAGCTATTAGCCTTAAAAATACGTACCATAGGGCTGGGGATGTGGCTCAAGCGGTAGCGTGCTCGCCTGGCATGCGTGCGGCCTGGGTTTGATCCTCAGCACCACATATAAACAAAGATGTTGTGTCTGCTGATAACTAAAGAAAATAAATATTAAAAAATTCTCTCTCTCTCTCCCTCTATCACCCTCTCTTTAAAAAAAATATTTAAAAAAATACGTACTATAAACTTTTCGTGAGGAATGTCAAAAAACTTACATAGCCGATTTAAAAAACCACTTGGCATATCCTATTTGTATAGTTAAACATAGACTTACCATTATAACCCAGTAATTCCTCTCCTAGATATATACCCAAGAGAACTGAGAACTTAGATCAACACAAAAGCTCTTACACAGTGTTCAGAGCCATATTATTTATAATAGTCAAAAGCACAAACAATCCAATTATCCATTAACTGATGGAGAAATGAAATATGGAATACCCATACAATATGATGTTATCCAACTATAAAAAGGAATGAAGTATGGATACAAGCTACAACATAGGTGAACCTTGAAAATTATGCTGAGTGAAAGAAGCCAGATACAGAAAGCCACATACAATTGCATTTATAAAATGCCCAGAAAAGGCAAATCCATAGAGACAGAAAATAGATTAGTGGTTGTGAGAAACTACAGGAGGGGAAATGGGGAATGACTACTAATGGTTATGGGATTTCTTCTTGTGGCAATAAATGTTGTGTCGTTAGATAATGGTGATGGTTATACAGCTTTGTGAACATGCTAAGATACACAGGATCATATACTCTAAAATTTAGAGAGAATTTTTTGGTATGTGAATTATATCTCAATTTTTTTAAAAATCATATACATAAAAAATTCATATACATCTTCATATACATCAAGAACTAGAGATTGGATGGTGAAGAAGACATATAAGCCCTATCATTAGAGAAAAACCAGTGGGACAGAGGCATAAATGAGTCAAATAGTTACACATTGAGTGTAATTTCATCTACAGGAAGTGCCATGGAGGATAAAGATACACTGCGTGGGAACATATCACGGGTGGGAGTTGATCTAGATGGGGGAGGGTGGTCATGGGGAAGTCTAAGGGTAATTGATGTGTATGCTGTGATCTGAAAATAGCTTTCTGGGGCAGAGTCAGTGGGATTTATCAACCCCCAAGAGGAAGAAACAGCACATGAACTATCCTACACCAGGAGGACACCTGAGGTTTTGGGAGGTAGATGAGGACCAGCATGGATGAACCACTTGGGATGAGGGAGAATGTAGCACAATCTTCTAAGACCACAGGCATGCTCGGTAATCTCTAGTGACCAAAACTGACCTTCCTCCCCAACAACTTGCTTCTCCTCCATTATTGATTGTGTCAGTAAAAGTACCACCTCTCCCAGGGCTTAAGCCACCAAACTGGAATCATCCCAGACTTTGCTGTCTCTTTCTCCACAGCCAACTTGCCAGCGAGCCTGTGGCTCCTACCTTCTGAAGACCCACACCTCCATACACAGCCCTCCCAGGCTCCCTCACTCCCCCAGTTGAGTCCACAGCTCTGGACTGGACTTCTTGCCACCCTTCCAACATGGCTTTCCCAGTTCCACCCCTGCACATGACCAACTTTCCAGTGGGCATAGTCTACTAGAAATGCAGATTTGATTGGGTCATTTCCCTTGAGATGCTTCTCATGACCCTTGAGGAAATGACATTTGAGGACCCTTCTCATGACAGACTTCAATAACAGCCCCTGAGTCCTGTGTCATCTGAGTCACCTGCTGCACGCATCCCTCCTTTTTAGTCTCTTTCCTGTGTTTGTTCTCACCATGGTAACCTGCTTCCTACTCATTAATGCTCCATGTTCTCTCTCACCTCAAGCTCTTCTTGGGCTGGAACATTCCCCTGCTCTGGCCTCACTAAGCAATCCTTCAGACTTTTTTTTTTTCCCCAGTACTAGAGATCATACCCAGGACCTTGAGTATGCTAGACAAGCACTCTGCCACTGAGCTACATCCCCAGTGTTGTTTTAATAGTTTTTATTGTGAAAGGGTTTCAGAGTGTTTCCCAGGCTGGCCTTGAACTTGTGATTCTCCTGCCTTAGCCTCCAGAAAAGCTGAGATTATAGGTTTGCGTCCTGGTACCCAGCCCTTCAGATCTTGACTTAATGGTCACTTCCTTTTAGTGCCTGATTGCAAGGACAATAATTTGTTTGATAGATCCTTTTGCTTTGTGACCTATATAACAACTGACTTTCTCCTTTAACAAAACTCATCAAGCTGTGTCTGTTTCCTTTGATGGACTATATGGCTCAGAGTCAAGTATCTGTACCCACCTTCTTCACACTACACTTCCACCCATTACCTCTTTCCTAGCAAATTCCTACCCAACCTTTGAAACACTGATCACTTTCTGGAAGGCAGCCTTCCCTGAGCACCCAGGCTAGAGGGTGCACGAACCTTCTTTTATAAAGCTCCACACTCCCTAAACATCTTTTTTAACACTTATCACAGAAAGCACCTGTTTTTAACACCTGTCTTCCATTCTAATTTTTTTTAATCTTGTTTCTCCTTTGCCTCAGCACCTAAAACAATACTTGTCTCAAGACTCCTCTCAGGTCAGCCCATAAAAGCTCTTATGAAAATCTCTATAATTGCATGCAAAATTCTACATGCGCTGGTGGGCAAATGGTTCACAGTTTTTTAAAGGGCTTTGTTGTTGTTGTTGTTGTTTGTGTTGTTTTGATACTGGGGATTAAACCTAAGGGCACTTAACCACTAAGCCACATCCTCAGCCCTTTTTAGTTTTTTTTGTTTTGAGACAGGATCAAAAGTTGCTTAGGGCCTCGCTAAATTGCTGAGGCTGGCCTCA